GGACAAGCGAAACAGAGGAACGGAGATAGAAGATGAAGATAACGAACAAGATCCACAGAAATTGTATTCCTCCTTACACCAATTCACAGCCAAATTTACCTCTTTTGCTATACCTCTTCTTCACGTTTCCTCTTATCAACACTCCCTTGCTTTTTTCTTATCTCTGAAGAGGATATATCCATCCGGAATTTTTCTGCTGGAATTGAGATAAACATGTCGCTTATTTCCTCTGGAATATCAAGGTCTTCAAGAACCTGCAGTGGAGCATGGATAAGGCATACACCATCTACTTAGACAACGCTCAAGGGAGTAAAACTGCATTTGTTCTGAGATTTTAGTGCTTAGGTCATACCTTAAATACACCATCTATATTGCGCCCACCAACAAGGAAACTGCAACCTGTTCGCTTGCAATCACCGAGTATCTCCAACATTCTTTTCTGGCTTCCTTCATAGTACTTTGGCTGCAACAAGTTAAGATCCTTACTCTTCTCCGATAGAGTGGAGTCGGAAGATAAATCAAACATTTGTGTCTTACTGAGTTTTATGTAGCTGATAGCCGCAGTGTAGCATACAAATCTAATGTTAGTGTTAAGGAAAGAAACAAAAGAAAATGATCATACATTAACAAGTCTAGCTGCAGTGTCAGCGCCGATTACAAAACTGCTTCCTGGAAAGAGTTCAGCTTTCTTGTAGAAGTACGGCTGATTTGAAACTATTACCGTCTTTCCTGCCAACCAGATACTAAACCAGCATCAAAAGATCATGACTAACAGACATAAACTTGCACTACAAAACAATTATAGCTCGAATCTGGATCATAAGATTGTTGTAACTCAGAGATGCCAAAAAGTGGTGAACAAGATAGATATAAAAGATGAATAAATAGCGCATAGTAAGAAAGAAAGAAACATTCCGTCTACCAACTGCTTCAAATTGCTTGACACGATCTTTAATCTGTGCTACTGAAAGCGGCGGTTTGTCAGCATTTATTGCGGATATTTCAAAACATGGATACCCGCCCCCAGAAACACTGCATCAACAAATCTGCTTGAGAGATTGTTTGCATTTTATATTACAGATTAAAATACAGTTATCTGAATTCTTGTTTGGAGATAAAACGTCAACATGCCAGAGGCCCAAAATCCAACAACGGAATCAATTCATATAGCACAGCATGTAGGTCGCAACCAAAGAAAATACTTGCATTATATCAGATTTAACTAGGAAACATAGAGTCAGCAAAGAATCAAAGACATTAATAGATACACAGAAGATTCAGGATTTACATAATGATTAGCATTAACCACGGTTTTTCTTTTAAATAGGTTCACTTGAAAGAGAAGCAGGTACTCTTAAGCAAACAAATAATAACCTACCTCATAGCAACTTCCAACAGCTTGAGATGACCATCATGTAATGGATTAAAAGAACCAGGCAGTATAATCTTTCTGTCTTCATCTGACCCGTGTGCTTCTGCCATAAAGGTAGAGCTAATCCATCATTAATGGCAACGGATGCAAGATTCAGTTTAAAAAATTTGTAAGATTTATTGAGCCAAATGACCAAAATCTTACCCCCAGAAAATGGATAAATCTTAAAGCACAATTCCCCATTTATAAGCTGCTCTAGTTCTTGTTCTTCACTAAACTGTGTTTCAGACTCATCAGGCACCTCAGACTCGGTCAAGCCACAGTCAAGTGTCCCAGAAACTTGGCATGCCTTGGCCATAGCCTATGATAATGACCAGAAAATGTTTTAAGAAGTCAGTCTGTGATGAGTACCTGAAAGTAGAATGCTTTAACACGAGAGTTATGCGAGCTGAGGAAAGCATGGATACAAAACTGCCCTATCCATCTTACTATTTCAGTTCTAAAACAGAGATACAACCGTCTGCAAATACTTGTTTGTAATACCAGTAACTGAACTAACTTGTCAATCTTCTTTTTTTCCTTAAGAAGTAGAGAAAAACAAATGAGAGGTCAATGTCCTAGGCAGGTACTAGGTTTGTAATTAGCTTAATAAGACACCTGGATCAGTACAAGGCTTGCCACCTTATCTTCTTCCTCTCTGCTTCGTAGGTTCTGAAAATTTCGACAATAAGATAAGAAACATATGACTAGTTGATATTAAAGAATGTTGCAATGACCTTTGTTAGAGTGACTGAAGTTTCCCAGATGCGGTCGGATGCTCTCATAGACAAAAAGAACCTACTCGCCCAACAAAAGAAAAGCGTTACGAGGCATGGTAGAAAATCTAAAACCCCTGATACTGAATTGATAGCTTAGAATAGAAGCAAACATTGGAAACAAGAAGTGCATAAACCTGTGATCCCCACGCTTAGGACGAGATGTTGCCAGTGTTCCCGTATAACCCACACCAAGAACCGGACATCCTAGGAAACATATATAAAAAAAGTCAGAACAATACTGTATAGTATATGTTTCCAGTTCTCGCAAAGTAACACACTTACCTGGTTTAGAGAGCATAAGCGCCCGATTATAGGCAAGCAAGGCCATCTCCTTGGCCATTGCTTGGCTACAGTATTGGCTCGTAACCT